ATTACAATAAAAGATAAATTGAGGTCAGTTCAGCCAGCCCCATGGAAGAAAAGTAGTGGGAGCATGGAATCCATTACTTAAATAAGTTCCATGAGATCACGATTACCTTTAGCTTTGTTAGTTCAAAACAAGGGCCTAGCCATGTGATGCCGATCTGAGACCTCACTTTCAAATGAGGAAGAAAAGGGTAAAACCATTGACCTGTGATGTGTTACTGGAATATTACCAGTTTGAGGTGAACCTCCTGTTCATAATCCTCGCAGGAAGTGAAGAGTTGAGCAGAAAAGGCTATACTTGTTAATTTCATGAACCTTCTCGTGCTATCTGATCCTGCTAGTCTGCACGAGCCAGAGTGATAAATACCCACAGGTTCCTTCTTTATCTCGGGGCTCCTGCCGAGGCTGGCGTTTGAGGAGGAGGTTTCCAGAGCAGTGCCTCCCCCACCCCGGGCAGGAGCACGGCCGTGCGTTTCTGCTTCTAAAGGAGACAGACGTTCGTTTCAGACGAGGTTTCCCGCAAGCTGTCCGACATGTACCGGAAGGAGCTTCTCCTGAAACGCACCATCACCGAAGAGCTTGCGCACGCCGCGGACCGCGACCTCACCCTGAGCTACTTGTCAATGTGGCTGCACCAGCCCTACGTGGAGACCGACAGCAGGCTGCTTCTGGAAAGCATGCTGCTCGAAACCGGGCACCGAGCACTGTGACCTGCCAACACGGCCTGGCCCGAGCCTCCAGGCTCCGGGCCCCTGGCCGCTTCTGTGGCCGCCACGGCGGACGGTCTTTCACGGGAGGCCCCGTGCTGCACCCCGGGAGCGTGCCCTGTGCGGTGCTGTGGCCGCCCGGCGACCCTAGGGTCTCCAGGTTGGACCATCTCTGCAGGTCCCGGTGGCCTCTCCAGACACTCTCCAGACACGCTCAACGCGTGCCTACTGTGAATCTGGCACCCGAGAGGATTCTACAGGAAATAAATGAGTTCCTCAACAAGACGATTGAGTGATCTTGTTTTTGTAACTTAGGTGTATTTCATATACCATTTAGATAGAAAACCCCTGGTTTAGTATTCTTACTCGGTACCTCTCTGTATTACTTAAATTTTTATGACGCTGCATTCGTTTTGTAATTACAACCAATGTTTAGAATACCATAGAGGTGGGGCGCCTGGGTGGCTCAGTCGGTTAAACGTCTGACTTCGGCTCAGGTCATGATCTAGCGGTCTGCGAGTTCGAGCCCCACATCGGGCTCTATGCTCAGAGCCTGGAGCCCGCTTCTAGTTCTG